GCAGTGTGCGCTCTGGGTTGTTTGTGATGGGTTGTGTGTCTTCAGTCACATCCCCTCTTAGAAAGTCCATCTCTGTTCTCCTGGACTAGCTCTGACCCAGGGCATCATTGCAGGTAGTATTTCAAGCATCTGCTTTAGGTTTGAAAACAGTTTCTGGATCTACTTGGGAACCCATGTGGAAAATCAAATTACAATATCAAGCACAATATCGTGTTTCTGTTTAAGATACTTTGATTCTTTTTATAGTGCATAAAAATACCACGTTAAAAGGGAAGAATATCAGAACTTATTTCATTGTAAATTAAATGCTTATTAACTCTGGAAGTTAATCTGCATCTGTGAGTTGGGTAAAAGTTTCAGGATTTGGATAACCAAGGCCCAATTATAATCAGAACAGGGACAGTTCAAGGTAGTAGAGAACACCTTCTGTGTTTTTACTTCCAGTCTGACTAAGGTGATGATGTCATTTTAGTTTAAGATACCTTGCTAAAATGTCCTTGTTTAATTTTCTAAAATATGTGTTATGATGTCTATCCTTTTTTTTGAGGTAGCTATATTTCCAATTTGCCCTTTTAAAGATAAAAGGTTTCTCTGTAGGATTAACAATGTGGCTTTACATTTAAATTAGCTTTTAATTAAAAAAAGAAATTAGTGTCTCTTCTAAAGCTCTGACATTTCTAATCTCTAGAGTATAAAAGTATGAACAATGTAGTTCTTATCTACCCCTTATGAAAAATACCAGTCATTGTTTATTTAACCAAATAATAAATAAGACCATATTTTTAAAATTGTACTTTAGTTCAAAATGTAAAACATGTAAGGACCCTTAGCAGATCATTTTCTCTATTACAATAGTCTTTGCATGCATAAGAAATTAACTAACATTTTGTAAGTTGTACAATTCTTGTGACTCAGTTTTAATGGTGTGTTAGTCAAATACTACTCTTCTCCAGTCTTGCTGAACATCACGTAACTTCAGTTCACAGCGTACCAAAAAAAAAAAAAAAAAAAAAAGTGAGAATGGAAGGTTACAAAGATAATGTATTCACAGATTCAGTTAATATTATGGCTAAAGTTAAGAACAGACTGTTTGGCTTAATGATCAGGCGTGTTGTGTCTGTTCAGAGCTTGGCAGCTCAATGTAATTAGTATACTAATAGCTTTTGTATTTGATACAGCATGATTCTGAAGCTTAACAGTAATTGTCATACACCATTTAAATGAGAGCTTTGGCATATTTATTGTTTATCATCTTTAGTAGATATCATTTGGCTACTCTTGTCAAGATATCCAGGAAAAACTTTCCAGAAAAAACTTTTAATCCCTTTATCTTTAACTGTTGCATCTACCAGTTAAATTCCAACAGTAAAGGGCATGGTAGAGTCAAATTGAGTCACCCTCAATCTTTCTGTTGTTGGAAGGATTGGGTTGGGGCATATTACCATAGAAATGAACCCTCTGAGAAATATTCCCATCTCCACCCCAACATACACCTTCCTGGTAGATCACAAGGTTCCCCAGTTGTCAGGGATGTGGCCAGTCCACCTTGGAAGGAGTTGTCTACCATTACTATCTCAACGAAAAGATTTTCAAGGGCATTGGTATTCCATTTCTGTGTGCAATTAGTCCAAATTGTACAGTTAATCATTTGGGCAGAGCTAAACCTGTTCCAGAGCTGGCCTAGCTTCACTCCTTCTCACTGAGAGGAAGGGTGTGAGAAATGTTTAGTTCCTCAGCCATAAGGAGCCTGTAGGATGCCAGTCCCTGTCTGCTGGCCCACGCCGTAATACGGCCATTATCTAACATTTCACTCTCACAGGAGAGCTCTGAGGCCCTCAGAAGCCAGTGTCAAGAACTTTTCCTTCCCAGTCTAGTGATCAGAGAGGCTCTGGGTTCCTTTGTCAGCTGTGCTGCTTTTGGGCGCCAGCCCCGATTCCATGCTGACTGTAGGGCTGCATGTTATAAGAAAGCATGGCCTTACTCTGCAAAGGATGATTCCTGAACTCACAGAGAAAGTGCAGGCTGTGGTCATGTTATTATGAGAGGCTTTCAGCAGTTCATAAGATGCCTTGGAGAAGGGGCCTGCATCCTTAAGCAGATGCCTGCTGATGTCGCTGGCTCCCTGCAGGAGCAAATGACTGAGTTATCTCTGGTAGCTTCTTTAATTCCTTTTTTCCACTCTTTTTTCCTTTCTATCTTCAGGAGTAGGGGGAATACCATGTGGTCGATAGAGGCAAATGAACTGGCGTTCTTTTAGACAACATTCCAAAAACTATTTTTTACTATTAAGGAAATACACATTATTATACTTTATTTTATCTTAGAGAAATTGTACTATTATTAGCCTACCTATTTTAGTGAGAGAGATTTTTGAAAGACTCATTTAATCACTAAATATTGATGGATGGCTACCGATGTAGCTCAAACATGTGGCATGTGACTAGGATACTGGTGTTCCATATTAGGACCTCGATTATAAAAGAGATTCAGTGCAAATTTCAGTGGAAGAAGGAACTTCCTTTGGCCCTGTGGATCATGGAAGGTTCCATGGAGTCTGAGGTAGTTGAGCTAGGCCTTGAAAATCGATAGTGGGGTATTTCAGAAATGAAATAGTGCATACATAAAGACAGGAAATCATGGTGTCTATAGTGAATTTTGGCTGGCCTTTTTGTATTCAAACAGTGGAATGTGCTACACAGAAGAGTGGGAATAAAGGCAGGGAGCAGAGTAAGGTTGCCATGTCCTTGAACTCTCTATGACAAAGTGTTACTTTTCTGGGTCATTTCTGCTTTTGTAACTCATTTATTTGCCTATTTCTTGGATATTCTAGGGTTTGATAAGATGCAGTTATCAGAACAATGTTTGTCAATATTGTTTCACCAAGAAAACCTATATGTAAGAATATCGGGCTCTATGACTCAAGCAGAATTCCCTTATGTTTAAATCAGCATAGAGTAGCTGACTATCTGAAAACCCTACCTGCTATTTCAGGCCCTCAATAATATAATAATAGGCTAACAGAATCCAAAATTCCAATATTTGTTTCCCTTAACTGAGTAGACAAGGTGGATTGGGTTTTATGAACACAGACTCCATGCTTCAACTGTTGCTAATACGATTTGCACTCCAGCATTGAAGTTGTCAGGGCCAGCGCATTGTTTCCTGTGTCCTCTGAGGAAACATGCAGTTGAGGCCAGGCCAGGAGGATATGTTAGAAAGAGAACCCCAGGGAGAGGCGCATGGAGCATAATCCTTGAGTTATAAAATACCCATTAATGTAACAACTGCTTTCAAAGAAAAAGGTAACAACACTCCCATGTGCAATGCCCCATCTGTTGTAAGAAGTAGCTCATTTTCCAAAATGTTACCAATGAAAATAAAATCTGTCACAGAATTAAAGAAAAAGGTAAATTTTTAGACTTGTATTCTATAAGCAAGGTGGAGGTCAGAGACTAGACTAGGTATCAGGCCATATTACAATTCACACGCCTCAGGAATTGGAAGTGAGCAAACCAAGCCAGGGGCCGAGGCGGGAAGGGAGAGGTGAAGCAGGAGGCGGGTGATCTGGGTACCCATTGGGACTGAGGCATCTTTCAGGTATCAGGTTGAGCACAAAACCCTCAGGACAACGACGCTAGGAATGCAGTCCCTCACCCAGCAGGTTAGTTAGCGAGTGCGTGACCCCAGATGCGTTGCCTGTGTCCAGTCAGGGGAGGCCGGCAGGGTTCTGGGTCTGGCAGCAGGCTCTCTACGATCTCTTTGCAGGTGTAACAGGCGTTTGTAGCCCTGGGAGTGGCATTAGTGATGGAGAGTCTTAAACAATCCCAGGCTCCCATGCACACTTTTATGCAGTATAGCTTCTTTTCTTATTCCTACCCTACATTTCAAATGTTACTGAAAAGCAGTTTTAAATCTTTTGGAGACACCCACATTTTTATACAGCCTAATTCTAAAACCATATAAAACCAAGTTTTTGTTGAACTTTGAAATTACATTAATTATATTTGTGTTATATCCATGCTTTATGTTAAAAAAAAGCAAAAGCAAAAGCAATTCAGAAGCATGTATGTTAAGAAAAGATATTTGAGCCCCAAAATAATATTGTTCAAGAAAGGATTTGTGTCTTATTTATCCACTAAGTAAGTAGACCTAGCTCAATGACTGGTACTTAGTAGATGCTTAATAAATTTAAGTTGTATTAAACAGGGTATTTGTAATGTGTAAGGCATTATATTTAAACATTTGTGCATGCTGTTCTAGAGTCTAAGACATATGTTTATAAAGAATAAGTTAGTATTTATTTTAGCAGAATGATTAGGAATTAATTAGGCCTAACATTTCAAATGCCATAGCTGATATTTTGATATGACAATCCTCAAAATATTTCCTTGCTGTCCTTCCAAATACACAAAATGTTCTTAACGTCCATTGGCAAATGGTTTAGAATTGGTTATTGTAAATTTAAAGTGTGTGGTCACAGTGTAAGCTCATTAGTCAAGTGAGGACCAAACAAAATACAGATATATTGGAACAGTATGTTTCTTCTTTTTCTTTTCTTTTTGAAATATTCCTAGGAACAAAAATTTTTGTCAGATTTTGTGAACATGCTGGAAGATTTTAAAAATGCATACATTGAAATAGCACACAAAATAACTTTTTCTGATTCAATTTCATAAATTGCTACATGAGGAAGCACCTTCTAGTAGATAATACTCTGAAATCAGCACTTAATATGGCAGTAATGGTTATTGCTGTCATTCTTTACATCTTTAAAAATAATTAAGCATTACTGCTCAGGCATTATAAAGTTCCCCTATCACCATTAAGAGGATATTTGAGGTTTGATGTAATTTAGCAAATTACATTATACAGTAGTTAAGGTTTTTATGTAGTGAAGTAAAATGCATAGCAGTTAAGCACACTTACCATATAATGCATTGTACAGAGTCCCATGTTCCAGCTGCTGCCAGCTTTGTTCCAGTGTCATTATTGCTTTGCAGGCTGACGTTCCTCAGGGAGTGATTCGAGTGCAAGCTCCCCATCTTTCGAAAGTTTCCATGGCAATACAGCTAACTGAAGAACTAAAAGCCAGTGATGTACTTGCCAGGTTTCTCAGCCAAGAAAGGTAGAGGCCTGTTTTGTTTTAATTATTTTACGGTATAAGTCACTTGCCTGCTCCCTCCCTCCTTCCTTCCCTCTTTCCCTGCCCCCTCCTTTCCTCGCGGTGCGCCCCCCCCCCCCCCCCGTAGCTGCGGATGGTGGGAAGTGCATCAAATTTTTGTCTTTTCAGCAGAAAAAAGGAGCAGACTCAATTATTAGACTGTTGGAATAAGTTGAGTTCATTTGGTGCAGTTTGTGTTCAAGTTGAGCCCGTTTCGAGCGTGATGTCTTGAGCACCCCTTCATGGGCCGCAGTGGGCTTGGCACAGGAGACCGCTCAGTAGACTTTCCAGAATATGTTGATTAGAGGTTAATTACTGTGTGTTAGGATAATCACTAATTAGGATACGGCGGGATTAAAACAAACAAACGATACAACTTTTCCTATAAAATATAGTGAATAAAAAAGGTTTGCATCTAAACACATAAGGAATAAAGGATTAAGGGAGGATAACCAGGCCCTTGAGCTCTGAAGTCTCCAGGACAAAGCACAGCGCCCTCAGTCGGGATGCCTGCCTTCCCCTCTACTCTGGGGCGGGGGGTCGGAGGGGTCCTTTGCAAGCCATTGGCATCGGTCTGACAATACTAGAGTCTACCTTTCCGAAACATTTGCAGTATCTTTTCTTGAATTTTCAAGGTTCAAACAAGTATACTGGGTTTTCAGTTTTTAACCTTTGAATTCTTATTTTTAGCTAAAGTTATATTTAATGCCCCCTCCCCCCCATTTCTACTCACTGAAATGAGCTCATCTAAATTTTTATAAAGGCAGGGAGATAGGGGCATTGCCGCCTTGGCTTAGGAATACTCTGTTTTAGCCTTCCGCGGAATTTTATCTCCTCATTTTAACATTTAGGGGCCTCCGTGCAGTGCAGTTTTCTTCCAAACCTCTCTCATTTTAATATAGTACCACCAGCACTTAATAAGTCTCTGCTCCATTTAAGGCTCTCTGCTGGGTGTTGGAAGGGGTATAAAAATATATGTTCAAGTATTTCCCCTCAGTATTCATAAATTGGGAGAAGAGATGAGCCTCTGCAGTGAACAGATGGGGATGAAATAAAAGAGAGCCTTCTGGGTAATATCCGGGCTTTCAGTAAGCCGGCATAAATGCCCCTCTCAACAACGCTCTGAAGTAAGCGCTCATATTACTTCTGTTTTACTGATAAGAAAACAGAGACTTTCCAAGGTCACACGTTTCATAGGTGGTGGAGCCGAAACCTCAGTCTGTGGTTTCTCTCTCCACAGACAGTCCTCAACCTCTTTCCAGCCTGGCCAGGGAGTCTAGAGAGCATCATGAATCTGGGCGTCATTGGTGCAGAGTCTGGGAATACATGGAATTTTAGGGGATTAAGTTCAGGGGCAGTTGGAATTTTGGGGGGTTAAGTCCTGGGAGCAGTTGGCATTTCTCAGATGTCTTTGCTCTCCGAAGGGTCTCTGATCTAAAATGAAGTCAATCCGCTTCTGCTCTAGTCCCTGCCATGACTTAGTAGGTACCGGCTGTTGCCGTTCTTCCCGCCGGAATGTGTACCTGAAGATGTGGTCAGACTTCAGATATAAGCCTCTCTTCCAGGCTAGACCTGGTTAATTTACACAGCATTTACTTTCTGGATCCAAGTGCTCAATTTAGTCAGTACTTTTGTTCCTCTACTTGCAGATAATATAAGATGTGACAATGAAGTTGTACAATATACTCAACTGTGACTTTAACATTTAAGGTACCGAAGGACAGTGGTAGTCATTAAATGGTTGGTTAGGAAAGCTTCTACCATACCATATTTTTCATAACAGTTTGGATAAAAGTCATACTTGGTTTTCTCTTCTCAGTTCCAGGGAAGGTGTCTTCAGGGCCTTATATCAACGGTTCACAAACTCTTTTCCATGCATCAGAACCCACTATAGAGCATTTAGAAAGATTCATAGGCTTTACCTAGACATACTAAGTCAGAGTTTCCAGAGCACTGGGACTGAATTTTTAGCAGGTTTCTCAGGTAATTAGTAAACAAAGAGTTTTGAAAAGCACTGAATTCTACCAATTTTTATTGTTTGAACCTAGCACCTGGAAGAGTTATTTTTGGAGGAGTTTAAACCTGTGAATGCACCCTACTTGTAAAGTCTTCCTAATGAGTATTTGCTTCCACTTTGAGTGCATATACCTCCCATATTTGGACGGCCAACACAGGGGGGTTCTGAACCATGTCCAGTTCTTTCCTTTCGCATTGCACACCAGTAGAGCAGTCGGCACAGCAAACCCATGAAAAATGCTTGTTGAATAAATGCATTGGGAAAATTAAGGTGCAAACATTTCTTTTTCACAGTTTTGTGAAGACCTTTTTGGCCTCTATGCTAAGTAGATGATCATATCAGTAATTTCATTGGCAACGAAAATGTTATGTTATTTTCTTTCTGATTTTACAAATTTAGATATTAACTTCAGATGTATGATTCCGTTTATTTTAATTTACAGGTGTGACATTTTTATTACCTATTAGGCACATTTAACAGATGGGAAAAAACAAATGTGTAGATAATTACAGTGTGTCTAAGTTATGAATTTTCCATACAAGCTAGAATTCCCCAAGCACATTAAAGTGATGTACTTGCAAGCTGTCTGATGGTATAACTAATTGGTTTGTTTTGTCCCTAATAGTGGGATTGCCCAGACTCTCAAGAAAGGGGAAGTTTTTCTGTATGAAATCGGAGGGAATATTGGTGAGCACGTGTTTTTCTCTTTGTACTCCATATGCTGACTTGACATTGCCAATGATTATTATTTATGTCTGTGGGGGAGGGGGAGAGGGACCTTAGTAGAAGTAAAATATAGCACACTGTAGACAGTTGATGAGTATTGTGGATTTGTTTAGTCATTTGGCCTTTCTCATCAGACCCTGTTTGTTTTGTACAAATTTGTTATGTACAAATCCCCGTCTATGTTGAATCTCAGCCAAGGCAAGTTCCCTAAAATAGATAGAATTTCTAGAATGGTTAATAAGGTTTTTCAAAGCTTTTTTCTTTTTTATATGCTTGTGTCACACTTTTAAAAAATAATAACAGTTTTCTCTGACAGTTTTTAAAAAGATTTTATTTATTTATTTTTAGAGAGAGAAGAGAGAGAGAAGGAGAGGCAGAGAAATATCTATATGTGAGAGATAAATTGATTGGTTGCCTCTCACATGTCCCCAGTTGGAGACATTGATTGGTTGCCTCTCTCATGCCCCCAATGGGGGACCTGGCCTGAAACCCAGGCATGTGCCCTGACTGGGAATTGAACTGGTGACCTCTCATTTCACAGGCTGGCACTCAATCCACTGGGCCACACCAGCCAGGGCCTTATGTCACATTTTAATAAAGGAAGTGGCTGCGCTTATTTAAGACCAAGATAACACTTTTATTATGCTACAGTACGAGGTATTCTTAGTGAAGCAAGAGTCATTTTTGCTATTGTTGATTGCCTACGAAATAGCACACACATGCACACACAGATATATTCATTGGTAATTTAGGAAATAGAAATTGGGTAAATGGATTAATTTTGACTATGTCTTATATTTTATTTGCCCATTTGTCATACTCATGTCTTTAATAAAATTTAAAGTAAACTTTTCTTCTTTTTTTTGACCCTTATGTGGTAAGAGTGAAATTGTTAAAAAAAATAAATAAAATTGTGTTTATTTCAAAATAACGATTGAAAGTATTTTATGATGTTTTGAATAATTTTTTCTGAGACTTAAAAATATTAGTTAATATTAAAAATTGAATGCAGAAACATGAAGGCTCATTTTTAAAATCTAAAAACAACAGCTCTATTAGAAACCTGGAGTTGTTAACTTTATTAGTAAGGATTATTTAAATGTTAATATATTTGGTTTTGTTTTTCCTCCTGGATTTCGGGAGTTCAGTGTGATTTCTTCCTTAGAAATAGATTCAAAACCGTTGCCACTTTTAATAAATGGGAATATACTTTCAGGGAACCATTTAAAAGCCCATCACGCAAAGTATTTTCAACTTCCTACGTTAATTTGAAACTTGTGCATACTACAAGAGTGACTTCGCTAATATTTTCTGATATTAAAGTTTTATAATATTGTGGGAAATAACAAAGAATGAAAAATATTTAAGTCTAAGACTTAGGCTTAGGTTTCAAATTGCATTGTCGTCACCCACCGTATTAAACAAATGCAACACATCTTTCCTAGGGGAGCGCTGCCTCGATGACGACACGTACATGGAGGACTTGTATCGGCTCAACCCGCAGGCCGAGTGGGTAATAAAGCCCAAGCCGTCGTAGGAGACTTGGGCTGCGGATAACTGCAAGGACTTCTTTGGTGATGCTTGCTGGGTCAAGTGTGTAAATAAAAGAAACAGCAGGACTCTTATTATTCAAATGTACCCAACCATGGAATAGTAACACTCTCAAGCCTTAAGAAGTGATAGATTTGTGCTGCTGCCAGAATTGTATTAATTATTATTATTAATATTATTAGAAAATAATTATCTCTGGAGTGAGAGGAAAGTGGCTTAATTAGCTTGTAGGCTGTTTTCATAAACTCTGTAAAATGTGCCCAGATGTGACATAGTGTTTTTTATATGAAATATACCCTCTTCTCTTTCACTTTTTATTTTGTAAAATCATATACACAGTAATATATGCTTTCTTCCCTTTCTCTCCTCCTCACATTTGCCTTCCCCCCATTAGGGTTGCTTTTTAACCAAAATGAGAACCAGTACTAGGTATGGCAACTTGTGAAGACAGTACGTGTTAAAACAGCCTGAATTCAACAGTATTCCTGTGACTACTGAATGCTGAATATTCATCTCCTTGAATCATTTGTTCAAACAATAACATTCCACTTCTCCCTGCTGTATCGTATGAAGTGATTTGCATTTTTTCAGTTCATCTGACATATGTGCACAGAACTGTACCCACTATCAAGAAAATAGAACTGTCAGAAACTGCCAGTTATTATTGAACCATTAAAGACTTGTATCCTAAAAATAAATAAAATATATCCATGTGGATAACTGGATTATGGATAATAAGAATGTGAAAGCCAAATCACTTCACGTATGCTGTCCTCTTCTAAATGAAATTTAAAAAGTCGTACCTAGCTTTACCTATTGTCATACCAGCAAGATAAATATGCATAAGAGTCTAATCCAGTAATGGTTGAGAATATATTCTACAGAAAGGGATTTTTTTAAACTTATAAATAAGTCTGCAGGAAGAGTTATTCTTCTGGGCATGATACAGTCATATGAACAAGGTTTTGTTTGTATACTTATTTTAAATAATCAGAGTAAATTTATTAAAATGCTGTGGAAAGTACTATTCCCAGGGATTTTAATGCACAAACCATACTGTGACAAGAGATGAGCCTTTGTACTGTAAATAAGAGGAATAAAGTGAGAGAAAAATGTTCAATATTTTGTGAGTTTAGAGTGTAGTAAATAAAAGGTGATGGAAATGAATGCAGCACACACTGTGTTTATGATACTGTTGGTAGTACTTTAGGACAAATTACACATTCTCAGGAGCTCTTGATGTCACTCTAATTAGGGAAAATGCTGTTAATGAGAACAGTCATAAATTTTTTGCCTATAATTACAACAGCCTGTGGATATGATCAGTTAACATTTTGGTGATTTGTGCCATTGCTTTTTTATTTAAAATTTTTTATAATTAAATGCATTTTTCTAAATTATCTTCTCTTGGAATTATTACTTTTAATCCTATGTGTTCATGATTGTACTAATGGGCTATTTTTGTTTTTGTTAAAAGCTACTTCTACTCTTCTGTTGCTTCTAGTGCTCCTGTGTAATTTTTAAAGTGGGAAGATGTGGAAGATAGAAACTTGTTTCCTTCTTTATTTTTTTTTCTTAGCAAACTTCTATTCTTTAGGATTTTTCAGAACACACTGTACTCTGTTTCTGGTTTTGACAATATATATTAATTTTTCAGCAAGCTGTTTTTATGGTTTAATTTAATGAAAACAATTAACAATATAAAAGCGAAATGAAGTACTTAAAACAGTTCAGGTATACAACTTCAAAAAAGAGAGTAGTAAATGTAATGATTCAGAGAGATGGTTTCCTGAAGTATATGCCAACTAATTTTCACCACATTTACTACCCATGGTTGAAGGGGCGGGTTAGGCTTTTAATAATAAAAAAGTCCCAGATCTTGGTGAATAATATGAAAATGATATTTTATTTTGAGTTTTTCTTAGAACTCATGACTCACATTCATTGACATTGAACAATTGCATTTAAATAACTAAGATAGCTGTCTATTTACACTTCTACAGAGGAGAAACCAGTTTGTTGTAGAGCTTCATATGTAAATACCTTGGAATTAACCTAAATGCCTTTTGTGCAATTTTTTTCCCCTCATAAATTTTAAATCTCAGGGTAGATTAGTTTTGATTTGCTTGTGTGTGAGGGAATATAAAAATAATATATATATTTGCTTTGAGTCTTAAACATCCTAACTTTTAAGGGAGTTGCTGTGAAAGTAGGGAGCTAGCATTTATAGAAAACTGTTTGCCCTATTAATATTACAGAGATGCTGCTTTTCTTTGAGAGGGGTTTTTGTAATTCTTTATACTTACACAGTATTTGTTTACTCCTGCTGTAGAATTCAGTGTAAACTCCTTGCTAACAGTCTGAGGAAAACAGTTTCTTTTCTGACTTCCTGAGATTTTCCATCTTAGTCTTTCCCTCCTTTCTTTAAACTGGAGTACACTTTCAACCTCATTGTCTGATTTCTCACCTACTCATCAGTAGGTGGCAGTATTGGTCAGGGATTCCTTTGCAGTTGAACTGAGCTTTGAAAGTGAACTTGAGTTCAAAGCTAAGTGGTTCAGACCTAGTGTAGGCATCTGCAAGGCAGTTAGGTAAGAACACCATAGATCTCTCATTTTGATCACTGATTTTTAAAATTGTAAATAATAATTCATTTCAGAGTTTCTGCGTTCAGTCTATTAGTGCGATTGTATCCTTAACTTACTGAATGGAGGAGGAGAAGAGATTTTTCTGAGCTGGAATGAGACATTTTGGCAATGTCTGTTTCAAGCAGAAGGAACATAATGAGAAAAGACTGTACCAGGAAAGTAAAAAAAGGGATGTCTAAGATAGAGGACATGATGCCCTATTTCAGTATAGACATGTTTGTTTTTTCATTCAACAAATACTTACTGGTCACCAACACATATGTGCCCGGCATATTGTACCCTTGAGGTGCACCAGTGAGCAAAACAGCTATGCTGTCATAGAGCTTCCAGCCTAGTGGAGGGAGACAAATAAAGAATTAAAGAAAATAGATTAATCAGTAAATAAAATTATTTGTATGTTGAAAGGATGTAAGTGAAGTGGAACCAAAAAAAAAAACAAAAAAAAAAGGAAAGGAAAAAGAAAACAGATGAGCCCTGACTGGATTGGGTGTAGTCCCATAAGCCAAGAGGTCATCAGATTGATTCTGGGTCAGTGTGCGTGCCTAGGTTGTGGGCCAGGTCCCCAATTGGGGGTGTGAAAGAGGCAGCCAATCAATGTTTTTCTCCCTTCTTTTTCCTCTCTCGCTTCCGCTCTCTCTAAAAATAAATAAATAAAATCTTTTTTTGAAAGATAAGCAAAATAAATGGGAAAAAGAAAGGAGGAATAGGCTTACTGCAGCAGTACACAAGATCTCGTTGAACATCTAACATAGCAACGACTTGAAGAAAATGAGGAACTTGCCACATGGATAGCTGGGAGAAGAGCATTCTAGACAGAGAAAAAAATTAGTACGAAGGCCCTAGGGCAGGAGCGTACCTGTCTTACTAAAGATTAGCAAAGATACGAGCATCGCTGGTGGACTGAGGGAAAGTAATAGACGAGGTCCAAGAGATAACAAGGGAGGTGATGGGGTGTGACCATGGAAAGCCTTGTATTGTGTGGCTATGATTTATTCAAATTAGGGCATTTCTGAGAGGGGAGAAGAGCACTGTTAGTGAGCACAGTAGCTATGGAGTGATAAGAAGTAGAAGATTCTGGATATATTTTTAAAGGTAGAATCTACTGCTTTTCTGGTATGAGAGAAATAATGCATTTTTAATGGAGAATAACCACAAGATTTTTCACATGAGCAATTGGAAGGATAGAGTTTTTAATAACAGAAATAGAGAAGGTGAAGACAATTCAGGTATTCGGAAGAAGGAGGGATTTAGGATGTGTTGAATTTGAGGTGCCTATTGGACATCCAAGTGACAATGTCGAGTAGGCAGTTATCTGTGCAGAAGTTCCGAGAGAGGTCTGGGCTGGAGTCATCGGCATGTAGATGGACGTTTAACTTTAACCATGAGCTTTTATGAGATCATCAAGGGAGTGAGTCCACATGGATATGGTAAAGAAAATCACCAACAGGTGAGCTTTGGAGCCACTCAGCGTTAGAGGTGAAAAAGACAAGAAGGAACCAACAAGGAGACTGAAAGAAGAGACCACGGAGATAACCAAGAGATTGTGATGTGCCAGAGCCTAGAGAAGGATGGCTGTCAAGGAGAAGGGAGCGATGTAATATCGATCCTAATTACAGCTCAGATGAGCTGAAGGGGAGGAATCGACCCCGGCTTCATTTCTGTGGAGGTCATTGTTGGCCTTGCTGAGCAGTTTAGGTAAAGTGATAGGGATGAAAGACTGATTTTAGCATGGTTGAGAGGGTGAGAGAGAGAAAAATCAAAGACTCAGTATGGACAGCTCTTAGAAGAAGTTCTGCTGCTACACAAAGGAGCAAATACGTGAGACACTACCAAGCAGTAGTAGGTATATCAAGGGCCTTGAATGCTGGGTTCAATCAGTTTTTTAATTTATGCAGTTAAGTAGGATTTTAAGAAGATAACATAGGTACTATGCTAGACTACCTGGGTTAACTAATGTGACCAAAGTTGCGTACTTGTGCCTCATTTTCTACTTTGTATAATGAGAATTAAAGGAATATTTATTCCTTAGAAGCTTAGTAGAATTAATGAACCCATATAAAGGGCTCAGTCATATATTTTCCTGTTAGTAAGTATTCAATCAACTTCAGTATTTTTATTAGTGGGATTATAATCAATATCATCAGTTATTAATGTTATCTTTGTTTCATTTGGGGTTATTGGTTCTCCTGGACTATGACATTACTTTTCCACCTGGAAATAGGTGTCAATAACTCTTCCTCAGGGTATGTGTGACACTCTATGTAAAGGGCATGGGAATAATTCCAAAACACTTGCTGTCTATGTCAAGTGATGTCATCTCAACTTTAAATATGGTTTGTGTCATTTAAGGCAAACAAGCTGGCATAAGAGAGAGCTCTCCTGCATTCCAGACCAAAAGGCTCAGGAGGAAAACAAACTCTCACTCAGTGTATTTCCCATGCTTGGTAACTTTTTCACTCTTGGAATCATCTGAGGCATTTTCAGTTGGGGTTAGAGGCACCTGCTGACAGAGGTCCCACTTGCTTTTTTCTGGGCCAGTAATTTTTCAAATTTTATATTTAACAAATAGAGCAATATGAATTTTCCTTCCATTTCAATTGGCCTCACATCTTAGAATCTGAACTTGGCATTCCACTTCCTTTTCACTTCTGACCTGAAGTAGTGAGTGGGGTAACTTGGCTCTGGTAGAAAGGGTTTTATATGAAACATTAGAACTTCTTTTAAGGGTTTCAGGAATTATTTTCACATGTAGCTGCAATGCTGTATGAGAGAAACAGATTAGTTGCAAGAAAAGCGCTGCTTCTAGGATATTTCCAACTAAAGCCAACGCAGACTGGCTTTATCACCAGCAAGCTTTTTATCTTGAGATTTAAGTTCTTGATTTCTCAATCAATGGTGCTCAGATGAGGTTCAGAGAAAGCAGCCCCATTCTTTGTTGTTTTACTCCTTTTTTGATGCCCATCTCTCATTGCACCGAGGGAGCTCAGTTCTGTCTCTTGTTGCAACTCCTATAACTTATACAAAATGATGGCTTTCATGTAATTTCTGCCTTAAGTCACATTTCAGGGCCACAGTGGAGAGGAATTTCCCCCTGGAGAGAACTTCATAGGGAGAGTTACAGAGAGTGGCCCAATTCTGAATAGTCATTCAGTTAAAATTTTCTGTCACATGACAGTAACCTTCTTACAAATATAGAAAGGAAGTGATTTAATCATTACCTGTGCCTTTAAAACTCTCATTTCAGTGGGAGAAATCTTGGAGCATCTTAACTTTGGTTGCTTTTATCACCTAGTTTGTATTTGGCAGGAAAGAATTCTACTGAGGACGCAAAGAATTAACTATCGAGCCCTGATTGGTGTGGCTCAGATGGTTGGGCATCATCCCACAAAGCCAAAGGGCACTGGTTCTATTCCCAGACAGGGCACATGCCTTGGTTGAAGGTGTGATCCCTGGTCAGGATACCGATCAGTGTTTCTCTCTTATACTGATGTTTCTCTCTCTCTCTTTCTCCCTCCCTTCTCTCCCTAAAAAATAAATACATTTTTTTTTTCAAGAACAATTAACTGTTGAGAGATTATGTATCACCTTTTGTCCAGGAATCGTGAAACATTCAAGGACGTGCCTTTTCATTCTCATCCTTGTCTTCATGTTAAGGAAGAAGAAAGAATTAACATTCTTGATTGCTA